CGTGCCAGAGTCTATCCCGCTCCAAAGGCCATCTCCACAACCACTTCCCTAACAAAGTTGAGTTCTTTTTAAGCACATTCCCGAGCCCTAATCCTCCCTCCTCTTTGCTTCTACCCACAACCCCCCACTTAATTAAATGGTCTTTTTTACCTTCTCCCGGTTCCCACAGAAAATCTCTCATTAATTTTTCCAACTTCTTCGCTTCCCTAGATGGTATCCTAAAGACAGAGAGATAATGTGTAGGAGGTATTTTCAGAAACAAGGGCATATCATAGCCATGTTTTCAGGACCCATTGGCTTTGGAGACTCCACAAGGGCTGAGCTTTCTGATGTGCTTCAAGGATTACAGTAGGCCAAGGAACTAAATCTCACTAATCTAATGATAGAGGGTGACTCCAAGGTTGTAACTGGATGGCTGGGAAATGGTGAGAGTACAGTGTTGATCTGCAGAAATGAACTAAAACAGATTAAATTGATGGTGGTGGTGGGGAGCATGAGTGCAAAAATACAATGGGAACAATGATCTGCTAATGGATGGGGCAATGCTCTAGCCAAGCAAGGGATTAAAAGAAATCAATTGTTTTGGGCTTGCCTGTAAACATTCTAGGGATATGGTAGTAACTGCTACCCTACCCAAGGAATACCTTTATTGTATTGTACTTTTACACCACGATCAGTATGATGGTCAGTTGGACACTAATCTTCATTAGGTAAAAGCAAGTGGATGGGACTCATGCTGTTTAGTATCAACTGTTTCAGCTATAGCAGCATATAACAGAGAAAATTAAATGGTTCAGTTACTAACTCCAGATGGACGAAATTAAATAAATAAAAGATATATATATATATATAGCATTGAATTCCCAGTTTGCTTTTTTTTTCCTCTGAAGGATAACTGATCATGGAATTTAAAAGACTGTGAAAATAGTAGGAACAACAGTCAATGATTGCACAAAAACACCAAAAATATAGTGTAAATGAGAACCAATCCAAGTGCTACTCTTCCCCAATTAGATTCTCAATTTGTTAACCAAGGGAAGGTAATGATAAGTTAAGATTTAAAAACATATAACCAGAGAGAGGGGGGAAAGAGTATTCAATCAATAGATGCCCTCTAAATGTTATCTAGTCTGGACTCTGGAACCACAGAACTCAATCTAATTAGCCCAAAAAGAAGCAAAGCAACCCAAAAAAAAAAAATGTGAAATTTAATGGAGTTGGAAGTTGATGGAACAAATGCTGTGTAACAGTCATCAATTTAATAGGAAGGGCTTAAATAGTCATGATAATTGTGAATTGAGTTAGACATTCCTTGCCTGGATATTACTTGATATGGCAAAGAGTGCTCTTTCCCGCTCAGTTTCATGTGTTGGCATATCTGATACACACAGTAATCAAAAAATGATATAGCTACACTCCACTGACTTATCAAAAAAAAAAAAAAGGCAGTCCACTGAAAGAACCTAGAAACATTATAGTATATAAGACCCAGTAGCACGCACCACATAAAGTTTAGTTGCCAACTTCGCAGGCTCATCTTTTGATTCCTGAATAAGTTTGTGAAGAAACTTCGCTGCCTCCATTTCAACATGATGCGAGGACGCCATCTCATTAGAACTACACAAGACGGCAACGAAGATCATTTCAATGCAAATTCATAACAAATATCAAGTCCAGATCAAATGAGGATCGGGAAATGGAAGTATATCAACCTCGAATTTTTCTGCACTAGCCACTAGGCAGGTATCATTTCAGCTCAAACGAAACGACACGATTTAGGGTTTTGGAGCATCTCGATATGATATATTTGAGGTTTTCTAAGTCCTCGTGTTTAAGATTTCCATGATATATAATGATACTCAACTTGTAACATGTTAGAGAACCGAAATCGTAACACGCTAGTATAACCAAAATTAAAAAAGGTCTCAGTCGGTGTAAGAAAAATGAAACTCGAAACCTAAAAATTGTATGGGAAGTGAAACTCGAAACCTAAAAATTGTATGAGAAGTGAAACTTGAAACCTAAAAATCAAACCCAACAAACCCTGGAATTTCTTCTCAAGGCGAATTAAATTGCAATAGTTCCTTCTCGGAAAAAACAGGATGAAAAATGACAATAAATCAAAAATAACTAGATAGAAATGCAATTGCTTTATCTTGTTTGCCTCTTCTCTGAACAAATTATCTTTTCTGGTTGTGACTTGTGAGAACAAACCGGTTGAGCGATTCGCGAAGCTCGTAATAAATATCAAATTTAGCATGGTGCGTGTGTGTGCGTGATGGAGAGAGAGAGAGAGAGAGAGAGAGAGAGAGAGAGAGAGAGATTGCTTACCTCGTTAGGTTGCGGGTGAAGTCCCCCGCTCTCCCTCTGTCTACTCAGGAATGACGGAGATGTGGGAATATTGAGAAATGTTAAAGCAACCGTGTAAGCCGAGCTACCACAAATGTATGAACTAAAAGACTCCTAACCGTAGATCCGGATAAAAACGTCGGCAACCATGATAGAGGTAAAGTTGACGCAACTGATCGGAGGATTATGATAGACGAGAAAGATATATCAAATGTCTTTAGCTTTCTCGCTATCAAAATTACGCATTTAACCTTCTCACTCCCAAATACCAAAATGTTTTAAAACCCGGTTCAGGGGTTAAACCGATTTCCCTGCGTGTCAACGGGTCAGTGTATGCCATCAATGTACTATTTAGGCCCGTTACCGGGTAAATGCATTTGGCGTTCCTTATTTTACGATTTATCTTTTTTTTTTAGTTATAAAATCAGTGTTCATAAAGGTATTTCTATTTCTATTGACCCATATATAAAAATGAGAATGGAACAAGTTGAATGGTCGAAGATCCTAATTTTTTTTATTTTACCCTTATCAAATAGCGGGTTTTTGTTTTGATTTTCCGATATTACCCCTGACAAATAGTGGGATTTGGATGAATATATTTTGTGCTAGACTAGAAGTCACAGAAACTAAGACTCAGTTTGAAAGCAATAGAAATGCAAATATGTACTGTGTAAATACATACAAAATATAAGATTTTGCACTCTACATATTTGCATTTATACTCCTTCCAAGTGTTTAGTTTCTTGGATTTCGGTGATAATATAACTTTTTGTAGTAACATGAAGATTGAACTGGAATGGATGCCGGAATTCTCAGCAACGTTGTGTTTTTCCCAGTCCAAGAGGTCATTTCTAGTCTCTGTTATTCTTGTTCTCTGATAATCAGTTAGTTTTTAATTGGAAGTCACAGGTTTTAATTACAATATTTTCTGATTTTCCTTGACTGTGGTCTCTATTTTCCTTGTTTTTATTATTCTATTGATTTTATTAGGGTTCTGGTTTAACAATATATTGAATGAATTCTAGGTTTAGATTTATGGGTTTTATAAGCAGATTTTGTATTTTGTGTTTCCTCTTCTTTCTTTTTGTGATTTAATTAATTTTAATCAGTTACTGTTCTGGATTAACAATAGATTTTTATTGAATTTTTTGTAGTAACATGAAGATTGAACTGGAATGGATGCCGGAATTCTCAACAACGTTGTGTTTTTTCCCAGTCCAAGACGTCATTTCTAATCTCTTTTATTCTTGTTCTCTGATGATCAGTTAGTTTTTAATTGGAAATGTCATGGGTTCTAATTAAAGTATTTATTTTTTGTTTTTCCTTGACTGTGGTCTCTATTTTCCTTGTTTTTATTATTCTATTGATTTTAATTAGGGTTCTGGTTTAACAATATATTGAATGAATTCTAGGTTTAGATTTATGGGTTTTATAAGCAGATTTTGTATTCTGATAAGGACAGATTCCTCCTTGTTGTGCACTATGCCCATGGTACACCATTTTTCTTTCTTTTTTTTTTTTTTTTTACATGATCCATGTAATAGATGCATGTCCTTCTTGTAGATTGTAGAAGCAAGAAAAATCATGACATTAAGAATTATTTAGCCAAGTTTTCTATGTACTCGACCATTCATCATAACCTAATTCATATGGAAAGCCAGCATACTTTGTGCTTTCTACCTTGGGGACGTTTGGCCTTTTGGGTTGCATCCAAGAGGAACTGTGGTGGTCCATTTCCTAAGTCCTAACAAACTATGAAAATGTGTCATTTGTATTGTTGAAAGAAGCATTTATAATACCATAAAACTTGTTTTTTTATTAGATGTTGCCCCTTCCATTCAAGTGCTCATTAGAAGCTTTTTAGCTGGTTCATGGACTCCCTTATGCTCACAATTTTCATTTGGAGTGCATTGATGAGTGGCTTCTGTTGAATGTAAAGTATCTGCATTGTTGTTCAACCTAATTTTAATTTTATTTTTCTCTAAAAGTAAGGGACGTTCTAGAACCCATTGGCATTAAGGCCATTAGTTTATTAAGGTTTACTAGAACCACTACTTGACAAGTTCATAAGTCAATTTAGTTATGTTTATAACAGATTCTTTTCCCATGTGAGAATGGCTTTTTCCTAAGTGTCGATTTGAACATTTCGTTCAAATGAGTTACAAGGAGTGCCAATGTCTTAGAAGATTCTTTGGGAAGAGTGGGGGTTGGAAGAGATGGTCTTGAATGGGGTTACCTTGGGTTGGGATGTAATGTGTAACAGCTTTTTCTATTCTTCCAATTCTTCTTTCTTATTGTTGTTTTGTTCTACCTTTTGTTGTTAAAAGATGGTTGTTCTTATGGGCTAACTGCCCTCTTGTGTGAGCATCTTGAAGTTTTTCTCCCGATCAATGAAATGGATCCTACTACTTATAAAACTAAGTCAATTTAGGCCATTAGCTCCTTAGAGACACTGTTGAAACCAATCGACATTCAGGCCATTAGCTCCTTATAGCCACTGTTCATATTTCAATTTAGTCATGTATAGGGGTGTTAATGGACCGGTTTTGGGTTGGACTCTATCCAAATCAAAATCCATTTGGATGGATTGGACGGACCAATAAGACATTGAATTTGGATGGACCGATATGACATATTGGATTGGACCTGGTCCGTCCATAATGAATTTATATTGGATTGAGCCAATATCTGGTCCATTGATAGAAGATAAGAACATAGGTGTCAATGGACCAGGTCTGAGTTGAAACCAATCTAAATTAACAGGAATTTGAACAGATTGGGTAGTCTCTGGACCAGTCCAAAATATTCATTGGACTGGATTGGACCAGGTCCATTTGTAATGGACTGGACCGGATTGGACCAAATCCAATCCAATTGACACCCCTAGTCATGTATGTTCTTTTACCAAAAGAATTCCACTTTATTGAAATACATTATCCTTCAATTATGATGGCATCTTTTTAGGAGCACAGATGGGCTCTCTATATGCTAAAACTATTGGATTAGATTGGTATTTTGAATCAATTATAGTTTAGCTAGATAAATGGAGTTGTAAGCTTAGGCAAAGGTGTTACTTGTTGGGTTTGGTGTATGAGGTTGTTTATGAATGTGTTCAATTTACATACAATAGAATTTAGATAATTTTGGATTTTGAAAAGAAAGGGATTCCTAACACCTTCCTTTTTTCAACTTATTTAAATAGGATTAATTATTTGAGGAATTGGAGTCACTACAATTCAAAACAGTTTTTAATTGTAAAATTCAAGAGGTCCATCACTCCCAATTTCTAAATCTATGTCTATGATGGATGGTGACTCCAAAATCCAGCCATGAAGTGAGTCATATTTGCAATAACGGAATAGCGACTCTACTAGGGAATAAAGGGAATTATGTGGGTTCCATTTCTATACTCAACCTTGCTTTAGGTGAGCCATTTTATAATTTTCTTGTTTTTTACTATTAGTTTTTAAAGTTGGATTTGCCTCTCCACTTTAGTTCTTTATGATCAAATGAAACCATCATAACCCTTCCAAACCTCCTTATCTCTGCTCTAACTCAAAGCCCCCCTGAATCCCCTTTATACTTGATACATAGTATTATCATTTTTTGTTTGTTTAACCTTGTACAATGCCCTATTTTGATAGTTGCCTATATTCATGTAGCATAGTTAAATGTTATTTCCTTACATTAGAGATCTATTCCAGAAGATTAATATGATTTTAAATGAATTTTATCCCTTTGGAAAATTGTACTTCAGACACTGAGAATGGTTACCGTTGAAGAAAAGGTTAATTTATTGCATGTTGTTATCACCATTAATCTCAATGTTAAACTTTTGCCTATCTACTTCTTGCTATTCTTGAATCAAAAAAATCATAACCACCTAGCCTAACTTCAACTAATTTGATGTTTATGTTTTTTTCAAGCATATGACAGTCACACAAAGAGGAGACATACCTTAGCAACTATAGCCTACTAGCCTTCCAATTCAAATGCTCTTTGATTGGCTACTTTCCATCATTTTTTTGACCTGGTAAACGAGTGATTTCTTAAAATGATAATTTTGTTAGAGTGCTTCCTGCATGTGTGAGTTGCAAGATCAATAATCTTCTCTTTTCAATTGATAGTATTGAAATAATTAGTAGTCTCTTATGCCCACATTGATTGGAAAGGAGATGCAAGAAAGATGAATTTCAATGCTTCAAGGTTGAATTCTTTATTTGAATATAATTCCATTAGTTGAACTATCTATCAAGTTAAATTAATTCCATTAAAGATTTTGTTTGATATATAAAAATACATTGAAGTTTAATTTTCTTTTGTTTACTATTTTTGCTTTCCTTAATTTAAATGAAACATATCATACAATTGTCTTGTTTTTTTTTTTTTTCTTTCGCAAATACACATTCACACGGTTCATACAAATTATTGTGGAAGGATTGATCTTATTGGAATTACCTATGAATATGGCAAGCATGATCCTTTACTGCACGTGGTAGTTTGTTAAGCTTTTGTTAATTTATTACCTCCTTATGCATATACAACTGTAGGCACAAGCTAAATACAGATGCATCAATTACGGTACCTATTTATACTTTTTGCATAGTTTTATATATATGCACATTTACATTATATATCAAGTGGAATAATTAATCATGTTCTAATTCAGTTTTGTTTTCTTAACCTTACCAATCCTGCTCAATTAGGATTAAACAAATTGAAGTTTAGTTTCGTTTTGGGTCAAAGATTCAATAGTCAAACAAATTGGTAAATTCTATACCTGGTTATGGTTAATTGTTCACTGGTTTAAATACCCATGCATCACAAGGGCCATTCTACTAGTTAACTTTAAAAAGGAGGATAATCTAAAAAAAAACTTTAAAAAGGAGATAAGTCCTTAAAATAAGTAATGCCAAATGTAACCTTATCTATATTTTTTTATATTTTTCAAGTAATTAAGACAATGATCATTTTAGTCATACAAATTCATTATTAAAACAAATATTTTTGTCATATCCAAGTGTTGGTAAATTTTCCGTACGTGGGGAATTTATTTACCCACTGGGATTGAGAGATGAGTATCACTTGCCCGGGTAAATGATACCCAAAAAAATAATTTTTTTCTAGTCCCCACACAAATTTGAAAAAAAAAAAGAATATGG